AAAATATGAAACTGATACATATACATGTCAACATTAAGTTATATTTCGTGTTAATGCGAAGTAGTTTTGAATTATTAAAATATTTTCATCTTTCATGAAGTGCAGTAAATCTGCCAGAAAGCTGCACGTTAGTGATCTATGTGCGGTAGGGACTATCTCTGACAAGGGAAGTATACCCTTCCTCTTGAAGATTTAATAAAAATAAGTGAAATTTCCATAATTCGGAAACTATGCAATAAGATTTATTGTATAAAGGTATAATACCAACACCCAGCTTACTGTAACAATCAACAGATTGCGGGATTGGTGATAGCGACAATTTTAAAATTAAGACTGTAAACAATATTTTGAGGATTTTTCCAAGCGATAAAAAAAATTCTCGCTATCTTATTTGTTTTGATGTGAAAATATGTTTTTACTTCTAGCTGAGATATACATATAAACAACTTTACAATTTTCTTATCTCTCTGATCCATCTCGCGTAGCAATATGAACATATTAGATATTGTTTTTTATTGAATATGACAGTTCCTACTATAATGGCCCAAAAGCTTTCGTCCTATTGGCAACAGAGGTAATGTCCTACTTCACACGTTTTTAAAACCAACCACATTTTGGATATAATATATCAACAATATAAAACAAGAAGTAAAAAAAGACAACATATTATTTCAGGTGTAGTGCGAGTTAGTCTTCAGGTCACATACTAACTTATGTGTGGTTTCTCTATATCTCAGAACTGGTCAGTCTCTAGGTCACATCCTAACTCACGTATAGTTTCTCTATATCTCAATCCTGGTCAGTCTCCAGGTCATATCCTAACTCACGTGTGGTGTCTATATCTCAGTCCTGGTCAGTCTCCAGGTCACATCCTAACTCACGTGTGGTTTCTCTATATCTCAGAACTGATCAATCTCTAGGTCACATCCTAACTCACGTGTGGTTTGTCTATATTTCAGAACTAGCCAGTCTCTAGGTCACATCCTAACTCACGTGTGGTTTCTAAACTAAGAACTGGTCAGTCTCTGAGTCACATCCTAACTAACGTGTGGTTTTCTTTATATCTCAGAACTGGTCAGTCTCCACGTCACATCCCAACTCACGTGTGGTGTCTATATCTCATAACTGGTCAGTCTCTACGTCACATCCTAACTTACGTGTGGTTTCTAAACTAAGTAATGGTCAGTCCCTGAGTCACATCCTAACTCACGTGTGGTGTCTATATCTCAGTCCTGATCAGTCTCTAGGTCACATCCTAACTCACGTGTGGTTTCTCTATATCTCAGTCCTGATCAGTCTATAGGTCACATCCTAACTCACATGTGGTGTCTATATATCAGAACTGGTAAGTCTCCAGGTATTATCCTAAATCACGTGTGGTGTCTATATCTCAGAACTGGTTAATCTCCAGGTATTATCCTAACTCACGTGTGGTGTTTATATATATCAGAACTGGTCAGTCTCTAGGTCACATCCTAACTCACGTGTGGTGTCTATATCTCATAACTGGTCAGTCTCCAGGTATTATCCTAACTCACGTGTGGTGTCTATATCTCAGAACTGGTCAGTCTCCAGGTATAATCCTAACTCACGTGTGGTGTTTATATATATCAGAACTGGTCAGTCTCTAGGTCACATCCTAACTCACGTGTGGTGTCTATATCTCAGAACTGGTCAGTCTGCAGGTATTATCCTAACTCACGTGTGGTGTTTATATATATCAGAACTGGTCAGTCTCTAGGTCACATCCTAACTCACGTGTGGTGTCTATATCTCAGAACTGGTCAGTCTGCAGGTATTATCCTAACTCACGTGTGGTGTCTATATCTCAGAATTGGTCAGTCTCCAGATATTATCCTAACTCACGTGTGGTGTCTATATCTCAGAACTGGTCAGTCTCCAGGTATAATCCTAACTCACGTGTGGTGTTTATATATATATCAGAACTGGTCAGTCTCTAGGTCACATCCTAACTCACGTGTGGTGTCTATATCTCAGAACTGGTCAGTCTGCAGGTATTATCCTAACTCACGTGTGGTGCCTATATCTCAGAACTGGTCAGTCTCCAGATATTATCCTAACTCACGTGTGGTGTCTATATCTCAGAATTGGTCAGTCTCCAGATATTATCCTAACTCACGTGTGGTGTCTATATCTCAGAACTGGTCAGTCTACAGGTATTATCCTAACTCACGTGTGGTGTCTATATCTCAGAATTGGTCAGTCTCCAGGTATTATCCTAACTCACGTGTGGTGTCTATATCTCAGAACTGGTCAGTCTCCAGGTATTATCCTAACTCACGTGTGGTGTCTATATCTCAGAATTGGTCAGTCTCCAGGTATTATCCTAACTCACGTGTGGTGTCTATATCTCAGAACTGGTCAGTCTCCAGGTATAATCCTAACTCACGTGTGGTGTTTATATATATCAGAACTGCTCAGTCTCCACGTCACATCCTAACTCACGTGTGGTGTCTATATCTCAGAACTGGTCAGTCTCTAGGTCACATCCTAACTCACGTGTGGTGCCTATATCTCAGAACTGGTCAGTCTCCAGATATTATCCTAACTCACGTGTGGTGTCTATATCTCAGGACTGGTCAGTCTCCAGGTCACATTCTAACTCACGTGTGGTTTCCACCTAATATCCGTATTAGTGTTGATGTTACCCCATCCCAAAACCAACCAGTTTTCTGGATGAATCACATCTGTATATTCTGTTTATGGTAACTTACCCGGAATGACGCTGCTCCTTGTAGTATAGTTGCGACATCAAATTTCTCACCGTTTCTTCAGTTTTTTTATGGCTCACTGATATTTTCTGGGAAAGTGTAGAAATGTTGTTTAGAGTGTGAGATTGTATTACAATCATTTCTTAATATTTATTTCGAATTGACAGGGACAAAAAAGAAACATTCTGCCAGAAACTTTCTGAAGAAATTAAAACCCCATGCAACTTTAACATATAACATACATAAAACCAATATGCTGGGTAATAAAAGTGTTTCTGTGTACATTGATTGCCTGAACTAAATAATACATGGTCTCACTTCTTCTTACCTATATCTTCAGGAAGGTTAACTCATTCAAGGAAAACAGTTCTATCCTGGCAATATCACAGAGACTGACATTACTTATTATAATTCAATAAACACCACTATTTGTCTTTATATTTATCCATAGTTGGAACAGATGATCTAGATCTTGGAAAAATGTTCTTCTGTCCTGGACAAGTGTATCAACACTTTTAGGGGTGTAAGATTTCCTTGCCTCAGTCCTGGGTTAAAATGGAAGCCTTTTTACATATATATTGTTATATCAGTTGAAATGAAATCAGAGATGAGAAAGTGGAATCCCAGCAGGTAAGGGAAAATAACTATTCACTTTCTTCATGGTGGGATATAAACATCCTCACAGAAAGATTATTGAATTGCAAACACTAGACAGTCAACTCTATGATTCCGTCTCCTCCTCTGGTCCAGATTCCCACCTCCTTCCCCCTCACCCAAAGGGGTGGACATTTATATTACCAAGTATTTTACTGATCTATCTTTACATAAGTTTCAATTCATTTTTCATGATGTAATAAACGGGGCTATGTATTCCCGAATGATTTCAGTCAAAATGCAATGTCATTTATATTTCTATGAATGCCAACTAAAGTTAATTTTAACCAACAGCTATCAATGATTCAGTGTAAGGAAACATTTCTCAAATTTATTGAAAAGTCAATATTTTTTATAATAAAATATCAAAATTGAGTACAGATTATTTCAATAAAGAGTAAAATTACTCACATTAAAATGTCAGTCATTTTGAAGTGATAAGTGAGTGATGTCATTCAAGTAAAACTGATCAAAGAGTAAAAATATCATGTTTGTTTAAATGAAAAGTGAGTAATATCAATCATTTTGTTAGTGATCATTGAGAAGTCTTTCAATGCCCTGTATTTCATCATTTGTATTTTATGAAGTGTGAACAATGTCATGTGACCCATATCATGTATTTCAATCATTATTTTATGGAGTTTATTAATGTTTTTATTGAACTGTGAGTAATGTTTCTAAATGTTTCGAAGACCGTAGGATAAGATTTAAGAATTTTTACTGAAATAAACTAATTTTTATATTTTTAATGTACAGTGTTCACTGAAGGTTCAATGGGCATTAATTAACGATACAAGTCACGCTGAACAGAAGTATCATGTTTTTATGGTCGATGATTTTTGTAAAGATACTCATATTCAAATGAAATACGACTTATAATACTCCAGTTTCCATGACATTTAGGAGGAAAACCAGATATATTTTAGGATTTGCAACCATATACGGTGGTGACACCATTGCCAAGGGATATAATTGTCGCTGATAACAATTATCCACGTGCTTCATATGAGAACCAGTTGTTTATACGACTGCAAATTATTCTGATTATCTAATACTAAGCTGGATTAATCTGGATGAAATGGTGTCATTCATTGTCAAATGAATGACACTATTTGTGTCCTTACTGAATGCTGTACTGGTTTATTTTCCAGGGGATTTAAATTTTGTTATTTTTGAGTATGAGATTAAACTGTGAAATACAGATATCTTGAAATAAAATGGATAGAAATTCACAGATCATTTTAAGACTTGCTTGAAAAACATATCCTTTTTGCTGAAAGCTTTTTGTAAAACTGCGAAAAATTTGAACCCTTGAAAAAACAAAACCCTTACAGAGTAGTTGATTATGCTATAGGTTTCCTTGAATATTAGAATTAATTCACAATATCACATATACTGCAATTTTAGATTTGGAAACTCTGGAAATTGTAATATTTCAAATGTGTATATATGATAATATTTCTATGATAACATAGAAAGTGATATTATTAAAATTTTACTGACTTTAATAGTATATTCCAGAACCTCCGTAACATTACCAATTGTTCAATATCTGTTGTTAACCACAACTTATAGTACAAGAAAGATTTTACGGTAAAAACAAGACAAAATCAGTTCTGAAGGACAACCTTTGAATTTTTATTGCAAAAAAAAAATTCTAATGACAGTGTAGAAGAGGGAAAATCACTCCACTATACAGAAAAACAGAATATCAACATAGCTGACAAAAGAACACACATGCCATTAGAAAAAATCAACATTAGACACCCGTGCTTCGGGGTCAATAAATAAGACGTAATACGAGACCACATGTGGTGGAATTATGGGGTGAGTGCAGAAGACTCTTGTTGGCGTGTACAATAAATTAGTTTAAAATTTATGCAAGAACTCGCAACAAAATCTGTCAAAAACTCAAAGAAACAAAGACTGATAACCATTATGCTTTCAACACCGATTGTCACTGTTAGACAACACTCTTTATAACCATCTTAAGAAGTTTATTGTTCTGACTACACGAGGACATACAGGAATACAGTCTATTTCACTACTGTTTCTATACAGTTAACTTTGATAAAACTCCCTGAATTTGTCAAATACAGATTAATAATTGGTATATTTGTCCTGTCGCATGTAACTTGTTATTTTCAGCCTTAAGTTGTAGTACTATATATATATATTTTGATAAATTTTTGACATACAGTGCAATGATGATATACCCTCTTTGATATTAAATTATGCTTTGCTCAACAAAATTACAAAAAGACAGTGATGCCCTGGGTTGAGGGTTAAACCATAGTAAAACAACATCTTACATTGGTTTTTTGTTTTTTGTAATAAACTTGTCACAAACACATACGACTACAATACCAAACATACATTAGTTATTGTGTATGACCAGGTGCTAGCCACTGCCACCTTCGTCCTAGAATCATTAGAGTAAAATACATAGCGATCAAAGACATATTTTCCCCCGCTATCTAAATAGTACTAACACTGTGCTAGGACTCTTGTCAGAGTTCTGGAATGTAACCATAGTTTACTATTTATGTTCCCCTTAACATCTAATGCTGACACTGATCAGCACCCTGTCGTACACCAGAAACATTTCTATGACTGGCCATGACGATGGGCAGCACCCTGTCATACACCACAAACGTCTCTACAAATGGACACCAATAAATACACTAACATCTACAACAGTTAATAGAGTATAGTTTTCATTGACACATATTAAATACTGTTCGTGTAAAGACCAAAATATAATTACGTTTCTTCTGAATACACAGAATAAATATTTGACTATATAAAGTGAGGTAGTGGTGAAGGATGGCACTCCCTGTCCCCCTAGGGCATCAGAAGTGACCGGCCCCGCCCTGCCCGGCCCGACCGGTCACACACATATAAACACTTTGACTAGCTTTCTCACCATCACCCGGTAGTGTGGGCAGTAGGCAGTCACATACCACATCCATGTTAAACCATACATCAATCTGTTTTACAAGTATGGTCAACATATTAAGAAAATGTTCCTTTAAATATTTTCCTATACATTTTTTTATTATCTCAAATATAGTAACCTAAACTGAACAAAAATAATTGTGGTTATGACAGTATTACAAATAAAAAAATCTGACAAATATCAATATTTAGGAGTCACTTGTGTGATATATAGACGGAGATTTTACTAATCAACTAGACTATATATAGTTAATAAAATGCAGATGGAAATTGTGTTGGATGAGGTCCGTTTGTCTAGTTTTGGTAACTTTGGTAAGCTGACCGAAGTGGTCAGGAAAGACTAGAATATATATACTTGCATCATTAAATGGCAGAGTAGAAGCTTATATGTTCACATTTACATCAACTGGCTTGTTCGACAAAAATTATAATAAAATAGTCTGTACAAGCTTTAGCTTGTTAATCATCCTTTCTCCCAAAGTTAATCTACATTATTATGACAACAAGTAACGTCAATGGTTTTAGTCGATAGTCTTTGAAATGGGTTCAAGAATTGAACTCTTGAAAAAGGTTAACTACTATGATAATCTCAAATGTTTTACACATTAAATAGTTACTGGTTTTTTTACCGTTTACGACATTTACCATAAAAACCCTGCTAAAATGGTTATCTGTTGAGTAAGTACAGTATAGTTGAGAGCTAAGCTGCACCACAAGTGTAAACATTGCACCAATTCCCAATAATATCTATGTTACACGCTCATGCACATACCCACATATTGCACTCATATATATATAAACATGCATACATCTATAACTATGAAATCACACAATAAATATTTATATGTAGAGAAATATACACACACACATACACACCCAAAATCAATAAAAACTCTAAATACTGTGAACACAGAAGCTCCTAGTCTGCCATTGTATAATTATCATCAATATATCTAACATGAGAAGAAAAATCACTTTCTTATGCGATTAGAGAGAAAAAAAAAAAAAAACTCAAATATTAACTGTCCTATGCCACCACACCTGGTAGATCATATATATATAATCATATATATAATAGCTATAGTACAATATATTCACATATACAGGCAGTAACTGTCCAATTTTCATAATATTCAAACAGGATTATATAAGTTAAGCCAGGAAAAACAAGAGCCTCACAAATTGGCATATCAAAAATAGAGTTAATCACGTCATCCGCATGCGTGGCCAACAGATACAACCTGTTGACCATGGAACTCTCTAGGAATGAGGAGAAAAAGGGAAGGGGTTCAAACAACCAATCAAAAAACACACACATGGAAAAAGTGTCATCATACAATTTGTTGCTATTTTTACAATTTGTGATTGTGTTCACACAGACACAATGCTGTCAGTTAGTTGTGAGTACCAAACTGGTCAAATAGACAATTCTGAATCCCATGGTAACCTTTCAGTCAAGACCAAGGGTCATTTCAAGGGCATTACCATGACGACCATAATCACCAAGATAAAAACCCAAGGAAACAACTCTTCCAAAGATCTATATATATATAAATAGTATCCATCAAGTACTATAGCAACAAAATCATTAATCATATATTTATACATATATTATAATTGCACAAAAAGTGAATATTGCATGGTTTAAGACTCTGACATTGCAAGCCCAGTTTGAGATTTGAGTTAATAGAAAATGACCCGTATTATATAATAAGGCAGTGCTCCATATAGATACATTCTTGTTACATGTCAAGCTCAAGTCTGTAACTTGCAATAGCAGATGGTCATCATCATCATCACATCACAGCCATACTTTAGGGGATACCTATCTCTAGCTAAACACTATACTTGTAAGGAAAAATATACTACATATTAATATTTACATCAGGAACACTAACATTGGTATACGAAACTTAATTTTCTATACATGGAAAATAGTGATAACCATTGCTTAACTTAAATAAAAGGTCAATAATTGAAAATCCAATATTTTTTCTGTCTTGATTTTCTATTAAGCACAGAAAAAATCCCATAAAAGCTTTTCCATAATAATTCAATCATATTGTAGGTTTCCATGACGACAATCAGCTAGATTTCATCAGCTATCTAATTCCGTTGGATGGTCATAAAATTCTAACATGAAATCAAAACGATGTCTTGACTTGTGTAGATGTTAAATTAGAAAACAAGTATATTAAGGTCAAAATTGGTAGTGGATCCTTATAATAGAAGCAATGCAGGAGAAAAAAAGAGAAAAGCTACTGAATGTTGAAATTGACTAGGATAAATACACGATGTAGATAGCATGTTCACATTTACATGGACGTGTAGTGTCTAATGCTTGGTAAACTGACTACAGAGCAGCATTTGATCATTACATGTACATATATCAGTAAACAGTATAAACATACTCATAAGCACATTAGGAAACAAATCACCTGTTACCATGAGATTCAAAAATACACTATTTTTCACAAAAACAAATTTCAAACATAATAAGTGAGGCTGACACCGTAACCAGTAAATAATTGGTCAGACCGTGCAGCATCCAGACCATGGCAAGCTTGGAGGAAAACCCACACAAACCATGATATTTTACATATGTAGTTCTATGGTTAGGCAAATATTTCAACCAAATGAAAAACAATTCTAAGAAAAACAATCCTGTTCTATGTCATCATCCACACACACAGCACATCAAACCTGTCATATAGAAATCACAAAGAGTTTACACCCCAAAAACAAACAAAATCTCATCTCTATAAATAAAATAACAAGTTACTAATAGCCAAATAATATATACTTTTAACTATCATTGTCTTAAACTGATCAATTAAATAAATGCAATGAACCTTAATATATTAATTTGTTGGGTTAAAGGTCAAGATTGTGCTTAAATTACAAAAAATAATATATATATGGGGCAAGATTTTTCATTTCACTGAAAGGAATTATTGATCATTAAGATTGATATGTTCAATCTTAAGAAAATTTGAACAAAAAAAAATGGAAACTACAAAACCATCCATAGCAACAAATATACTAATGGAGTGTTACAATTGAACCAATGCGTAATACTGAGATTCTGGGCAGACAGAATTAGCTAGCTTCTACCTAAGTTCCTGAAAATTAGCTGCTGCCTTGAAACAAACAGAAAGTTATAACTAAGTAGACGGTCTGCTGACCGCCACCACAACACATGGTATGGAACACAGGAAATCACACAACTAGAACCGAGTATCTCAGTCAACTGATTGCACATAACCATTTTCATAAACACACAGTTCTGTAATAATAATTGTAATAAATAAGAGTTTGACATCCCTATGATACACCGTGAATACCTGAACACATGACCAGTTCCCTTTGCTTCCCCTACTCACTGCTCCATAGGGGTGAGGAGAAAGGTAACGGTAACCGGGGCACTAAGCCGTCTCTTCACTGGAATCTTCACCACAGAGGTGAGAAAGTCACTCTGAGAGGAGCAGTCCTCCAGATGGAATGACTGCTGATCGTCGCTAGACATATCTTCCTGGAGGTCTTCAACAGCTTGGGCATGGAGACTACCTTGCTGGCGTACAATATTCCCTGAATCATCGTCGTCCATGCTCAAGCCATTGTTATTGACCACTGACGACATGACATGCCTCTTGGTATGGACACGGGCCATATGATGTTGGAGCTGTTTAGAGAATCCAGTTGAAAAGTTACACAAATTGCACGACAGTCGTTTGGTTGACTTTCTGTTATTGACTTTAAATGTCCTTTTACGAATGTGCTCCTCCCTTATGTGGTGATGGCAGAGGATTGGAGACGGGAAGCTTCGCTTACAAGTTATGCATCTGTAAGTTTTGATGTCTCCCACAGTTTTACGAACAATGAGTCCGTGACTGCGCTGTCTGACCTGCATGTTTTCCTTATTTATAATTTGATGTACTTTCACCTCATGGGAACACACATTATTTAACCATTTGCTTTTGTAATCACAAATGGAGCATGTGTAAAGTCTCTGCTTGATTTTGGTGCTGAATCTACGCTTCAAGGAAAACTTTGGACCAGTTAGGTACCTCTTGGGGAGAGGCATTGGTGCATTCTCGAATGGAGTCTCAGGTGGTGATGGTGGTGATGGTGATTGCTGGGATGTATTCAGACTAACCTGTGCATTATGCTCCTGGATCATGTGAAGATGCATGGACAGCTCACTTGGAAAGACAGCATCACATAGTCGGCATGTTCTCTGCTCCATACTCATATCAAAGCCTGTCATCAAATTTTTTCTGGCTCCCATTGGCATCCCGGGAATCATACCAGCATGGTCCTTCATTATGTGAGCTTTCAACCATTTGCTGCTTTTAAATCGACGATCACACAGATAACAAACTTCACTGTAGTGATTGAAATAGCGACTTGCCATGGCTTCATCTTCCATTTTCCTCAAAAGATTTCTGGCTGGTGCATCATGCATTTTTTGTTTTAAGCGCTCTTCATTCATTCGCAACATGTTGCTGTCAAGTCTCACTCCGAGAGGACTACCATTGTTCCTATCGCGAATGCTGAGATCAGTAGGCAAGGATGAGTTACTTGATGTTTCCACATCTGAGGTAGTTGGGGAATTATTCAAACTTGGTGACAATGAACTTTCACTAGGCAAGATACCATGCTTGTTAAGTTTGTGAGTACGAAGAAAATATTTGTTGCAAACTTCCTTGTTGCATATGTCACAACTAACACGTGAAGAATTCACAGGCTCTTTCCATCTCCAGGTGTGCTTTTCATAGCCACTCTTGCCTTTTTGGTTCCCACTCATGCTTAGGTTTAATGGTTTGTTGTTGTTTGGATTGTTAATGATGTTGTTGTTGTTGTTCATCATCGTGTTCATGTTGTTGCTCATGATGTTGTTCATATTGTTGTTCATACTGTTGCTCATACTTATGTTATTGTTTACATTGTTGGAGTTGTTGTTGTTGTTGTTGTTGATGATGTTATTGTTCTTCATGAAGTTGGCAAGAGAAAATTTTTCCATCTCTGGAGATTCTGATTTTTCACTTCGAATGCCATGAATGTTGAGGCGATGAGTCCTCAAAAAGTACTTACTACAAAATTCCTTTTTGCAGATTTCACAATAAGCTTCGGGATCAATGCCCATCTTGACAAGCTCATCATGGGAAGGTTTTTCTAGGACTGCACTTGGCGAGAGGTCTGTGGGAACCTCGCTAGCTTTAGGAAGAACTGGAAGTGGCAGGGAGGATGGCAGCTGTGGACTGTGGAGGGAGAAGTCCTTTGGTTCAGACTTGACTGGGGGGACATGATGAGGTCTCTCTGATCTCATCTTTGGTGCTATTGGCTTTCCATTTTTGATTGTCTCAAAATCTCCAACAAACATCCTTTTGTTTGCTTTGTCTTGTTTTTCTGTGTTGGGAGTTCCAACTCCATGCACCTTATACTTATGCACCTTAAGGAAGTATTTATTGCACAACTCCTTATTACAGATATCACAGGTTACACGATCTGCAAGTTTTGCAGCAACCATATTTCCAAACATGGTTGTCATGCCATTTTCTGGAACCTTATTTTCCACATGAGGTTCCTCCATCATCCTTGATCCTGGAGATATCTTGGCCATAGCTTCCTCTTTCTCACGCATAGAATTCACATTTCTCATAAATTCTTCTGTAAGAGAACCCTCCAATCCTTCATGAAGCATTCCATGAACCTGGATCCTATGAATACGGTAAGTGTATTTACTGGCAAATTCTTGGTTGCATAAGTTGCAATAGGTGACATAGTTATCTTGGCTAGCTGAGCTAGTGACTAGAGAGGTTCCAGGTTTGGGACTGGACTCAGGTTTAACATACATTTTGCTGAGTTCTGTATTAGAGTAAGATACTGGGGTTTCTGAGGTAATTGCGGTTGAGTCAATTGAAGAAGCAGGTTTGAATGGCGTTCCTGGGAGTCCAACAGATCCAATAGGCACACCTAGAGGAAACTCATCCAAATACATTCCATGCTTGTTGGCTTTGTGTACTTTGAGAAAGTATTTGTTACAAAATTCTTTTCTACACAATTCACAGTAAGCTTCTGTATTGAGAACTCCCATTCCACTATTCATTTCTCTACCCATTCCACGCATTGGATCGCTAGGTGTGCTTGGTAAGCTAGCTGAAGTTGTGGTTGTTGTGGAAGATTCTGGGCTACTTGCAGGCATTGGAAGAGGTTGTGACATTCCAGGTGGTGTTGGAAGCTGGCTGTGCGGTGGCATCAGTGATCCTGCGGGTATCAGCATGGGGGCCATGAACGGATTCAAAACCATGACACCAGGCATGTTGGGCAAACCTGCCATGTTGGCCATTGAATGAGGTATCATTGGTGGGGCTATTGAAGTAGCAGAGGCCACAGCTGATGAGGTGATTGCATCAAGTTGTGCTTGCAAGTCTTTAGATCGACCTCCACCACGCTTTCCAGTAGATGATCCTTCTGGTGGAGCAATTCCATGCACATCCTGCTTGTGCTTTTTGAGGTAGTACTTGTTACAGAAATGTTTCTGACAGAGCTCACAAAAGTCTTCCATGTCCTTGCCAACTTTTCCACTATTGCTACTACTGCCAGTACTGTTTCCGCTAGACACTGGAGCACTTTCCTGCTCTGGCTTAGGTGGCTTTGCAGGTTCGGCTGGTTTTGGTGGTTTAGGTTCTGAGGCAGGTAAACTTTGAATGAAGTCCATGACCTTGAAAGATGAGGCAGATGATGGAGGCAGTGTAGGAGGAGGAGGAGGGAGAACTGGCTGAGGAGGACTAAGCTCCTGAGGTAGTGACATACTTGGTGGTAATGTATTCATAGAAAATGGTGATGATGCCGGGTCGAAAATACCATGTTTGTTAGCTTTGTGAGTCTTAAGAAAGTACTTATTACAGAATTCACGATCACATATTTCACAATAGGCATCCTGATGGAAAATGCGACCAGAACCATTCAATTTACGTCCTTCCTCATTTGGATCTGTATATTTTTGTGAAGAATCATCAGAATTAGCATTTTGCTCTGATAATTCGCTTCCATTTTCCTCTCCGTTAGGATCAAACTGATTTCCTTGATACAATTCACTACCAAGCTGGTGGTATTTTGTTGGGAATGAGTCTCTCATTGCTTCCATGTCAGGAAAAATAGGAGGACATTTCTCCTCACTGATCTGTTGAAGATGATGATATTTTGATGGGAATTCTTTCAGAGAGTCCATCTCCTTAGCAACAGGTGTTGGCTGTTTTCCTTCCAGAGGACTACTTAGTTCTCTGTCTGAGGGAGGCATTTGTTGCCCCACAGGGCTTCCTTGTTCCAAGTTCATAGCCCTTTGGTCCTCCTCCATGGGTCCCTCTGAGTCCAGCCCAGGACTGCCTGCTCCATTGACAAACTCTTCCTGAACCTCAGGCGGTTTCTGCTGTGGGAAGGCTGCCCCTGGATCAGCCCCTCCCTCACTATCCGCGCTGTATGATACCCGTATAGGTTTGCTTTGTTTTCGACGACTTGACTTCATTTTGTCAAAGGCAAATGTCTCCATGGCAAGCATTTGTGCGGCAGTGGTTGGCAGAAACATTAAAATGGTTGGGTGGTAATTCTAGGTTACGTTTTTTACTTCTTGGTTGAGGTGTTATGTCACCCCTGTATAAAGTTCCCTTTGGCGAGTATAAAGTTTTCAGTTTCTGGGAACTTTCATCATTGGTTTAGTTTGGTTGGAATCCAAGTCCTCTTATGTTAGCCTGCAAAATATGAAGAAAACCGAACATAAGTTATCTTCTTCAAAACACAAATAAAATCATTACTTTTTGAGTGAGCTTTTTTCCTTAAAAAAAACTTCCAATCACAGGGAAAAAATAAAAATCACATTTTGGTTTAGAATGTGAGCTTTGTCCGAATTTAATTTACAGAAATTTTTGACAAGTCAGTCCAGAAAATGTTCTTTTCATGTATAGTTGCAACAGATATTTGTAAAGTGACAAAAACAATTCTACACAAGGTTATGATTTATGAAACATGTCACATTTTTTATAAGGTTACCAGAAGTGACTCACTAAAATAAAAAAAAGATTCATTTCATTAATCTTATGAATGGAAGAATTACTCCTAGTATATATACACCTAGATTAATTGCCCACTCCCCCCACCTTTTTTTTATTTGTTATAAACAATAGAATTAATATCTGAGGTTAAAGACCTAGATACATATGTATGTATATAGCATACTAATGTTGTACATACACATTATTAAAAACTTCACATATATATTAAACCTATTATCCTAATCCATCAAAATATTGAAATAAAAAGTGACAGTGAGAAATGAATTTACATTGTAACAGAAAGAAACAATATCTTAGCATCAAAACAATATGAAATCTATTTCTGAATCATTAAAAACAGAAAAACCTATCATGTTGACAATTTCATATTCAAAGTAGGGAAATTACACTGCTGAAATAAAAGTTTAAATTCAATTAGAACTATACAAAATGTACAATAACAAATGTATAAGTGGTGACAGGCATGTTTGTCTACAAGCTTCTCCACAAAGGCACACTTACCCCTTCTCATTCAAACATGTACACAACCAGGGATATTTATTCCAACTAAGTTAAAACTGACCAACCCTGGCCTATTATAGTGAGTGTCCAGAATTTGACATTTATTTGTAACACCATACCGCCTTGACCAATAGTAAACCCAGCCCATCAATAATTCAATGGTATTACTTCAATCCTCAATTAACATTATTCTGTACATTGTAACTATATCAAACTTGAGAGTTAATTACTCACTGGTAGCTACCCAGTTTTCATGGTTCTCAAATTAGCAACTGTCTATCCAATATGTCTGGTAATATTAACACCTAACCAATGTGATAATAGGAAGCCGCTGACCATTGGTCAAATCATTGAATTTGAGAGTAAAACCAACAGATATCCTTTTGTGTAGATCTGTACAGTATAAATTGAAATAAAGCAGTGATTCCACACAATAATGAAAGGTGATAGCAGCACATAAGAGAAAAACAAATTTATTGAATGTATGTGCACACTAATGGGAACAGAGGCAAGATTATTTTTGCCTTAATGATATGTGATTAGAGAAAATATCACACCTGACCATACAAACAATTACCAACTATGCAGGTGTACAGTCCTCAAATAATATGAAATACAATGACTGTGGACTCATCTTTCAGTTTCAGTCACAAATATCCAGATAAGTAACACTGTAGTTTGTCTATAAGGTTTTATATATAGCTCACAGAACTTGTACACAGAGAAAAGACTACAATAAAAGCTGGATAAGTGCCAATATATTCCACTACTTGGATTTCAATTTTCTATCAAGTGATGCTATTAATTTAATATAGAAAGTTCTCTAAATAATTAATCACTTTATATCAATTATTATATACAAAATATACTTATCTTTGTGTTTCAAAGGCCCAAGATAACAATATCTAAAATTATATTTGAAAATAATCACTTACAGTCTGAACAGTATAGGCTTTTTGTCCAAAAGAAATCTGTTTGTCAGATCATTAAAGTCTAGATGTAACTGAGATGAACTTGCATATATATTTTGTGGTATAAATACATTCCACAAGCATGTGTATGTACTGTGGAATAGAAAAGCTGGGTGAAGTTTGTAAGTCAAGGTTTTCAGTAGGTGTATTCTACCTGTGTACTTTCTATAGCTTCAGGTTATTTGGACAGACCCAAACCAATAATTATTAAACATTTTGAATCTGTTGCCTACTTCCCGGATAAAATTCAGAGTTGAAGTGATTGATGTGCAGATATGCCCCCTAAGGAAAGTTACAAGTAAAGGTGGCAAGTTTGATAGTTTATGTATCACTGTAATATTTTCAGAATGACACAGGTATATAGTCATCCATATCGTGATATAAATATTTGAATGAAATTTCAAGTATTTCATCCATCCACACAGCAACAGACAAACAATACTGTGAGGACACATTGATTTTCAATTAATCAACTGAGCCTCACTTCCTTACAAAACTTGTTCGTAAAACTGTATATTAGATGAAATTAGTTTGTATTAAAATTTAATCAAAAGCTGAAGACAAATAGGATCTACATCAGAGATAATTCACTCATAAAAATTATCAGGAGAGTGAGATCTATCTTTCATAGAAAAACATTACTACTGATGACCTTGAATATTATAATACCGTTTACCAATAAAAGTACTGAAAGGTTAACATTTTGAAATATCTAAGTCTGCTTTTCCCTCTGCCCAATTTTTAACAAATTATTCACAATGAAATTTACTTAATATGCTATAAGTTAAAATTGCGGTAAGATGATAAGATATATTCACCTATAGACTAGTAATTACAAATATAATTAAAAAACTAATGGATCAATATAGAGTCATTTACTTTAAATATTAAAGTACACTTTTTAATCACAAACTGAAATTAAATACTTCACATTTCATAAATAATGAATAATCCTTTAGTACCAAACGCTAATTGCATGTAATTAGTAACTTTTGTGATTGAAAAAACACAATGAAAGAGAATTACAAATTGATAGGGGAGAATAATATTTGGATATAATACTGTAGTGTGTTGGACGCAGCAGGCAACAGAGCTATGATGGATGGCCAATTCTCTCCCCTCCTCTAGTATTTCCTAGCCAGTCAATCAGACAGCTCCATTATCTAGTTTAAATAAATTGCCTTTATCTTAATGTAATTTCAAATAATAACCCCTCATTATCATGAAAATATTATTCTGCTTTTCTTCTTTCCAAGTTGTTAAGTTTAATTATTCTATATTTTGATATTGTATTATACTTTTTACTTGTCAGGTTTTTTCTTTTTGATGTTATTTTCTTGTTTAAGTTTCAATTAGCTAAGACATGCTTTTTTTCTCTCTTTAAAAAATATTGAAATTTAAATAAAAAAAGCTCTCTACTCTTCATATTTTAAAAGATCAATAGAAATCTTTATTCCAAATGGTAGTTATACAAATATATAGCTTATATCATGTCAATGTTTCAGATATAAATATATAGTTTTAATGTTGTTTTTTTTATTATCAACTTGCCTGTAAATGCACTCTGTAACTGCCAAGGTATGTTAATAGTTTTGTCTTGGTTTCCATTTATGTGATGCTGTGCCAACTCTGTTTAGCGAGTTATTTTTTGGTAGCCATGTATTCTTGTCTTTGTAAATCAGTAGGACTGAGTTACATCACATGTACTCATTAATTTTCTCTGATGTCTTTTTGAAGTTGCAAATAAAACATGATCCACATTAGCAATTTCAGTGCAAAGCCACGAATCCTCAACAATAATATTGAAACTATTATTTCCACCAAGTTTCAAAATCTTCACAAATTTGTCTTCAGAAACACATAAATCCAAATGATTACGTGCCTAATATATGTAAAATTATTTCATGCACACATCTTAAATATTTTTTCTTTGATGTGAATACATCAACCTTGTATCATGTCACTACATTCTCCATAAAACACAGCTTTTGTTTCATTAATCATTCCACCAAAAAACAGAAATTAAACCCTTGGAGACATGGGCTGCGTTTATGATGAGTGCTTGCTTTTGTGAGCCCTGTTTTAACAGACTTATACAAGTGATTGGGGTTTGGACTGGGTAAAATGCCACAATCATTAAGTACAGTACAATTTAATACACTTGACTTGTGCATAATCCTTTGTTAGATGTCAATAGTCACAAAAGCCTTATGTCCGATATCAAACCCTAGTAAAACAAGTGTTTCAGATCAATACACTATTAGTTTTCTTTTTTTAAGTATCACACAATGGTATAATATAAGCAACATGGGATAATCAGGTTTTTGACCTAACATACAGCTAATGATACATGATAAATTAGCTAATTTAATCCTTTAGTCAGTCGAAACAAATTTTAAAATTGACATAGTGACAGATTTAGCAATCTGCATGCATTCCCAAAATTAGCCTACATTTGTTACTCACACATAACATTCCTATTCCATGGATCACTTTTCATCTGAAAAACTTTTGCTAATTCATGTCAATGGAATTTGTTATGTTGTAAGACCTCTAATCACTACCAGGTCACATATCATTATTGATCATTGATCAGTATTCATCTTTTCAAACATTATACTTGTGTAAATACTTTCTTAGAAAATGCTTCATGTTTGAAGAAGTTTTTATCTTTCAGACCAAGTAAAATATTGATTACAAAATCAATATGAAATTTAAACAGAACAAAAGAGGTACATATCAATATCAAAGATTCAAATAAAATCATGTTATTCCGTCAATTTTTCAATCCTCAGCTTCAATCATTATTCAGCTATGGTCTTGTTTTGGACATCATGTTTTCTATCAGATCTATTCTGACTGGTCCGATCTAAACACGAACATGACAGTGACATTTACATATAAAGTTCCATCACAGAAATGGTCCAATTTTAGACATAAAACCAGATCAAAAAGGGTGGAAAATCATTAACTAGACGATAAAAGAAAAATTGATTCAAGTTTATATTCCGACAAGCCATTGTTAAAATTGATTTCATTGAAAAATCCAACAAATATATGAATCAACACTACTTTACCTTAGTGTCAGTACAGAAAAGCCTGCATCTTAATTACTCGGCCATGAATGAGAACTGATGATAATCTTTCATATGCCTAATTAGTCCAGGCAAGCACGTCATAAAATTCTGTTTCCATTACAGCCAGCCAACAGTTTCAAATGGTCTTCCTGTGGAGTGACCAACTCAATCCTGTATTTGCATAATGTTATGAGATAGCACAATTGGAAGTCATTTAATTATCGGTGGAATTTTATTTTACATTGGTCCCTTCAGACGGCTCATCCTATTGATTATCCTTCGACCTCTGTAAACCCTGGCCAGCCAATGCACATGTTAAGTTACATGTAGGTACGTGTGTGCATGCATGCGATTTATTTATGTTTGCCAGAAAAAAAAAAAAAAAAAAAGCCAGATACATCTGTCAAGCTATGCAGATTCTTCTATCATCTGCATTAGAAGTATTTCATACAAAAACTATATAATGTACCTATGATCATGTCAATTTCATTAACAGTAATTTCAAACATCTAAAATTCATCTCCTTCCATTTTACTAACTTGCAACAAATCAGTCCTTGAATTCAACAAGAATTTTGAATTCAAACAACAAATTTTGAATTCAAACAACAAATTTTGAACTCAAACAACAAACTAAAAAAGTTTACAAAATATCTACAAACAATCTTGAAATAAAAACCATCAATTAATGTAAATTTAACTGCATCTTCAACTTGAATTGTTGTTCATATTGTTATTTTTTTTAAGTTTCAACAACATTCAAATTTTTTTAAATAACAATTAAAATAAAATTTAGTACCTACTGACAAAGTTTTATGGAAACTAAGAACATATTCCTCAACAAGACAGACCTCCATCTACAATGTTTTAAAGAGGATTTGTTGTAATTACAAGTGAAGTTACAAAGTACCATCCTCTCCTTACCCTTCTTAAGTTTTTCAATTGATAGATCAGTTTTATAGGTGAACAGGGAGTCGCCCAACCTTGGTGTAAAACAGATGTAAATTTGTATTGTAGCATGTTTAGAGAAGGCAGCAGTATATATATATGTAAATGACTTTGTACAGAATTAGTAACAGCCTCAGTGAAAACTGATACCAAGACACATGGTAATCATAAAATCACCACGCTTGCCATCTTCCACAGACACAAGTATGTCCACATATTTTAATACATTTTGTCAAAGAAAATGCCTTGCTGTAGCATAAGACAATTGCAAATACTGGTTTGCCCAACATCTGTTTTTGATCTTTTTTTATCAAATATTCTACACTGAGCTCCCATTATATGTACCAATGAATAATTAAAATCTCTTCCCATACAGCTTAATTGAAAAAATACATCAAAGGATTAGAACAGTTTCACTATGTTTACAGAATGTTTTACCATTTAAAGGATTATTGACCGTAAGAAGGAAACAAATTTTTAGTCCTTACCTAGAATACATGGGGTGCTGGATGATCCCCCCCTGGAGTACAGGGGTGCTAGCAAGGGTGTCAAGCAGAGATAAGCCAGACCACACCTTATAATGAGATAGGGCCTATCACACAATATCTAACAGTCCTTCCACACGATGACAAAGCCTCCACAGATAGTCACCATAAGTGATATATTTCTTATCTTTAAACATAAAAAACTATGACATGCTTCAACACTGGCCATCAAATTTCCCAAATATGGACAGGGTTTATTTCAAGCTTGATTGTATCAGGCCATAATAGCCTCTGGTCACTGTTTTATTATTCCAAACAAGAAGGGTTTGATAGATCACTGACCATGATCACAAAGCCGGCACTGGACAGGTCATAAGTCACACAGGTGTAATCAAATATCACCACCTATTGTCAGGTCAGGTATTTTAAACATTGTTCAATTGCTTCAACAATACAAAAACCCATGATGGATTAATTAATCACGTATCAATCATTATTGAAGACAAGAAAAATAGACATGCCAAATCAAGGTTTAAAATCGTGGGTTTTTTCACTTTCATTTGAAACTTGATCCTCCATTGATTCACTTACTACAATATCACTTTCAAAAGAAAAACATCATGTTAATTTCCATCTGTCGAGATTTAAATCCACAGTTAAATAGCTTTGGAGCAAAACATGGAAATTTGATAAATTCAATCAATATTCAATCTGTTTAAGCTGTGTTGAAAAACTGTAACAGTCGGCCCTCCTTTGATACAAGCTTTACTGTGAACAATAGCCCAAAGGCACAAAGCCCCACAAACAATGCCATAGTATACAACAACAAGATAGATACAGATGGTTCATCTTCAAAATGAAATTAAAACATAATAAAGTCAAGCAACACTTACTGTGTAAGTATCCAATACAAAATTCACTTTTGCCTGTAACATTAGTAGAAAGTCGACTCCTTCCATACTCCAAAGCCAGCTTATTGAATTAATTACTTTTGAATTTATTATATTTGTTCGGTTTGCTGCATAAATTTTTAACGTGACCGGTCGATAAATCATTCATTATTTTGAAAGCTGCACGAAAACACACCACTACAAACGATCGAAAATTTACGCTATGTAATTACAAGGTCCATACGCTGAGTATTCACTGTGTCCAGTCCAAGCGCACACTGCAGTAGAGTGCACGTACGTCACAAATACAAACCAATAATATCTACAAAGTCTTAGAAGAATAAATATTGGATGAAATCCAGGGAAATTCACGACATTCCACACACAAAACTGTAGAAACTGTAGATAAACATCGTATAGTAAAGTATACAGCATCCTCCGTCATTACACAAAGCCGTAACTCCGAACCACCGAAAACACTTTTACTTTCAAAAACTTTATAAAATGAAAAAACATCCTTAACCCGCACAGTTTACAGCATAAAAACAATATGGCTTCGCCTCTGATACTCCAGGCCAATTTTTGTAAGTACCATCACAAGTGCTACACAAGCCGAGAACGGGAGGCTGTGAGCGTGTGTATCGTAAATTAAAATTTTAACCAAGCTCTCCCATTCCCATATCATACTGGACAGTACATAGCAATTTTCATCAGCTGTTAAACAAACTTAAAATGCACTTACCGAACTTCGAAATAACTTCATTGGGTAGTCCATAGTTACTTTCACTCGAGAAAATTACCAAAACACAATATTCCATAAAGATATGATTAAATCGAAAGAAAAAAATTACCTCACGGACCGCCGCACTCGCCTATTCTCGCCATCTTGTTCTTTTCATACCCAGCATGCCTTTCTATGTAAACCAATATGGCGGCAGGGAAAACACGTTGTGATTAGTAAAGCACTCTCCGTGTTATGGCCAGTTGTTTTAAAGGTGAGTTATTTAAATTAAAGATTTGTCATTGCATAGAAACTGCATTTCAAGATTTCTTGTCATATACTAATTTGCATAGCCAGCTCTGTTACTTTAAGATGTCGCATGGCTTGGAATTTCACTCGATCTGGTTGAGCTGATGTTTATCAACACATGTTATTGTGTTGGGCCGTTAGAGGCTATTGTTTTGGCCGTAGAAATGAATTCACAGGGGGGATGGCACATGTCATACACATCAGCTCACGCCCACTCGTTTTTAGGGGCCGGACTTGCTTGCATCACTCGAAAATGAATATTAAATTATAATCATCCGAAGACTGGGATTTCCAAATAAGTCATTTTCCTTATTACCATGGATACGCCTAATATATTACTTGACATTAAGCAGTTTAACAAATTACAGCTCCTAGCTAGGCGGCGCGCGACTGGTCAGATTTATTAGATTAATTTGCATTTTAATGAGGCAGGGCAGACTTGGATAACGTGCATCACTTTATGTCGAATGGTAAATATCAGATTTTGAAAGCTGATACATGTTAGCATGTAGATATTGAATCTGGAAGCAGCATGGCTTCATAGAGACCCAGGCATGGGGTACCATCTGAGCCATATTTCTTACATACTCGTGTCATAGAATTACATACACATACATTTAGATTTGTAAGCCTTGTTATCAGCTTATGATAATGATAAATCCCATATATAAAAGTAATCCATAATTAGCTACAGGATAAGTTGGCCACGTAAATTAACATACTGTTCAGACTAAGTGGAATAACATTCTACTATATTCAAACATTTAGTGAAAAACTGATAAATTTAACTATTTACATTTTAATTTTGGTAATTATATGATTAAGGAAAAAAATATCTTCTTATATTTCATATAATGCAAAGTACTTTTAATTATATAATTTTAAAGATAAAGCATTTGGGAATTTTCCTTGTCATGACAGTAATACTGGATAATTAGTAATATTTCATTTAATTCTATGTAGTAAACAAATTTGATGATATAGAAACAGATATTTTTTGCCTACATTTTTATTTATCATACAAAGAAATCATTTTGTTTGATCCTGTGTTTATGTATGAGATTATTGCATTCCAAACAGACTTTGTTTTGACAGTGTAAACTGTTAGTACAGAACATAATACTTTCATTGTTCTTTGTGTTTATGATTGCTTTGAAGTGGACTGGTCAATGATTCATGCTTGGAATGTTGCTGAAATGTTGGTATCAGTTTGGCATTTTAGTATATTATACATTATGCAACAAAAGAAATATATTTTATGACTAGATTTGGATCTTTTAGAAAATGTTGGGCACCCTCATGTGTGTAACCATTAATATAAACTTCAAATAACTATGGTTATATCCAAATGTTAATTGCCTTTTCATAGTCATATCAATAAGTCTTGGATATAGATAATATTTTGAAATTATTCTTATCATTTAAATTTCTGCTATGATTTAATATTTTGATATTTAAATTTCATGAAGATATCTTTTATTTTTATGTTTAAATGCACCTAAATTTAAGAATAGAACTTTGCCTTCACTGCAAAACTGTATAGTATACATTATGTTGAAATGGACATTTGAAACAAAAATTTGTTTATTTGAGCATAACAAAATTTTAATTTTAATTTCAAAAATATTTGATTCAAGATGTTTCCACACATTTAACATTTTAAAAAGTTTACACATTAACATGTAATATATTACATATCTATCTTATTTTATTTTTCATGGTATTGATTATATAATGAACAACCTTTCTTTGGGTGAACAAAAATCGTTACAGTTACTTTTATTTTTGATGAATATTTTGCTGTAACATTTTTTGTAATACAGAAACTGATACCTTATATATATATTTTTGCCTTATCAATAAGATTTTAATTTTTGCTGAAGTATAAAACATTAATTGAAATACAGTGAAATATCCCTTTAAAAATTATTGGTTTAAATATCATGAATGAATGAAATATTAGTCAGAATATTTGAATATTACTTTCATATTTCACAACAATGACAGTAAATTTTGATTGAAATATTATGTCACCTGTGATAATATGTGACCTATCAACTAACATCAGCCTTCAAACGGTAATAAATCAGAGTCAGAGTCAGCTGATAAAGCTAATTGGTGATGATTACATCAGGTAAGGACACATGGCAGGTATACTGTTTACCTACTGGTTAATATATCTTACCTGTGTGAACACAAGTTGGCTGCCTACCTGTGGAGGTATTGTTGTCCATATTGTCAACACTAATGCAATAGAAATATAGCTATAGCTGGCACTATAGGGTATAAATCGCTGTGACTGACATAATCTCCCTTATCTGATTTTGTCTTTGTGGAGGATCCAGGTTAAGACCGACATATATGGTAATTGTAAAAATAGAAACATGCTGACCAGTTGCATAAACAGTAAATATAATTTTTTTTATTCTCCTCAGACCAAACACCCCAAAAAGCAAAAAAAAAAAAAAAAAAAAAAAAAAGAAAAAAAGAGAAATAGATGGGAAAAAAAAAATGCAAAAAAATACACAGTGTACAGGAGAGAAGTGTTCATCTTTTTTTTTTATGAAATCTTGAGACCCTTTTTTGTGTCAAAAACATAAATTTTCATATTAGGCATGTTACAAGTTTAAGAATGTTATTTAGAACTTTCTGAAGTGGCAAAGAACACAAACAAAAATTTAATAAAACAGTTTGCTGCTATCAATAACTAATTAATTTGTAAAAAATAAAATTTGTCATATATATAGAATTAAAGGATATTAAAAAAGAAAAAAAAATGGAAACTTGAGATACAGTTTACCTTGCATCCTCAAATAGAAATGTTATTATCTTTTTCTTTTTCATGATAATATCCAACTATGAAATGCATACAGTATTTACAACTTTGAAAACAACATCTAGTAAGGAGACATGAAGCCTGTGTTTCTGTTTGTGTACTAATCATACATGCTTGTCTGTGAAGTGCTACCTCACCTGTGGCAGTTCTATTCAGCTTGACAAATGACAGGACATACTTTCAGGTTAAGATGTTTAGAGATCAACACCTGTAACTTACCTGAGGTCTCATACACAGAGACTGATGTTTACAATTAATGGAAAAGTAGAAGTTTTTGTCGTGTAGAACATTTCATAAATAAGAAAAAAGCAAAAATGAGAAATCTTTTAACTTTATAATTGACACAAGAAATGTATAACTATTTTTTTTAAAAGTCATTTTATCCATTTTTTTAACTAAGATTCAGAGGGCTTATGAGTTCATTTTGCATTTTCATTTGTCAAGAATTTATAACTCTGAAATATACATACTTTACCCATCTTATTTGCAAAGTCATAGGACAGTGAAATAAAGGGAGATAACCTGCTGCCTATTGGCCGAACCCCCTGTAACAAGACATTGATATGTTGATAACAGAGACCTAATTGTTGTAGCTGTCAGGAGTACATCACCCATATTGGGCTCTGCTAAACACTTACCTTGTGCACAGGTAAAAATCAGGTGTATTAGTGCTCATCTGCTGACCAACTGTCCACCAAACAAATTTGGTGAGCTACTCCTTGACCAGTTATGTCCAGAGGTATATTCGGAACAAGAGAAGTAGATTTGAAGGAGAAAATATATATTTATGGTAATTGCGTTAGGTTGGTGTGATGTCCAGGCGTATGGCCTGAGGGCCTGTGTCAGTCCACCAAACTAACAGCCACCAGCTTTATCAACTTCACCTTCAATGTTTAATATCGCTTTAAATCGTGTCCTGCCTGTCTTCAAAAGAAATATTTTAAATGACCCATTTAACTGGCATTTCTGTCATAAAATTTCTAGTCACAAGATATTAAGTATGATATACAGATTTTTTTTTATTCTGTAAAATAAAGTCATTCAAACCGATGTTGAAAGCTGGATTTTGGCAAACAAATTATACTTTTATATCCTATTAGATGGGGAAAAAGTTTGCATACCTTTTATACTTTAGCTTTGTGTCAATTGAAAAGTTTAAGGTCAGAAAAGAGTCAGGGGTGTTTACGAATTTTAAATATTTTCTTTGAAACCCAATAGCTGTTGAATTTGAGATGAAAATATTCAATTACTTTTCTCAAATATAATTGAAACTTCACACATTTCTTTGTGTATCGGTCTTCAAATAAAATTGGCAAAAGGTAGTATGTCGAAATATTTAAATTGAATTATATTTTTTCATTTAAAAATGAAAAGATATAAAATTCTGTGGAGAAACATGAGCATTTCCCAGGCCTTGGTCAAAAGGTTATGAGGTGTATGTTATTGAAATATTTTGTCGGACATTTCAGATTAATTAATAATTTCTATATGAAGAAAATTTTGTAGCATGTCTGTTCAAAAACTTGTTTCAAAGGTTTAGAATTCTTTATCTTGTATTAGTTTATGATATTTTCCCCCTGGATTAATGTGTTATAAAGATGGTAATAAAAAGACACAAAATTTTCAGTAAGTTTTGACAAACAGCTGATTAATTTGCAGTGACAAAGTAATATATCTGTTGCCTTTTTAAGTACACTTGTGTACAATTTTAGTAGCTTACATATTATAAAATGAAAATTACCAAACAAGTATAGATGTTTAAACGAATTCCAGTAAACAAAATGTATGTATTCAGAAAGACTCATGTAAACGTAAATGATGTGCAGTGATTGCGGAATGAAAAAAATTCTCTGGAATTATATGAGGAAGCTGGGATAATAAAATACATACAGCAAGCAATAATTCAGCATTTATAAATGACTGTCATCTAATCATTGAAATATAAAGATTATGTCAAATTTGGTAAACAATTTCCACATTTGTAGATACGTCCTAAAAAACTATTTCTGCAGATTATCATTGTTCCTGTTACTTCAGTGTAAACAAAATTAATTAAATTTCAGCCTTTCTGACCATAGGAAAAAAGATATGGTTGCTATGCCAACATAAGCATGATAAATGTACTTTTA